TCGTATCTTATGCTATATAAAGAAGATATTTGAAATAAATGAATCATTGATTTTTCAGAATTCTATTATGTGATCTCTAGCATCATTTCTATCACCAAGGCCATATTTTCCAACTACTGATCCTTCCTTTTTGTTCCCAACCTTTGCATTCCAACACCAGTAATGATCCATACATCTTGATTGCATGTATGATCAATTTCAGATTGAAGAAGTTGGTAGAATTCTTCTATTTCATCCTCACTAGCAAATAAATTTGTTTAATAGTAGTATTAACTGGTCTTCCCTGGAAGTGCATGGATATTATCCTATCACAGACTGCATTGTACTCATGACTGATCTGGCTATGTTCTTTCTGACAGTGAATGTAACACCGTTCCTCTTCAATTTGCCATTCCTGGCATAGTAAACCATGTGGTTGCCTGATTCAAAATGGCCAATACTATTCCATTTCAGCTAATACCTAAGATATCTATGTTTATGCATTCTATTTCATTTCTGACAATTTCCAATTTTCCTAGTTTCATAATTCGTACATCCCTTTTTCTGTTTATTAATGGATGTTTACAGCTGTTTCTCTTCATTTTGAGTTGTGCCCCCTCAACAAATGAAGGTAATGTGGGCTTTACTCCATTCATGTCATCACAGTCAACTCTACTTTGAGGAGGCAGCTCTTCCCAAGTCTCGTTTTGAGCACCTTCCAACCCAAGGGGCTCATTTTCCGGCACTATATCTGACAGTGTTTCTCTGCTATTCATAAAGTTTTTAGTGACTAAATATTTGGAAGTAGTTTGTCACTCCTTCTTAATTGTCTGTCTTCATCTGGAAGCTCATCTGAAACCTGTCCACCATGGGTGACCCTGCTGGTATTTAAAATACCCATGGCGTAGCTTTCAGAATCACAGCAACTCACAAGCCACCACGTGTCATACTGTCATATGTTAGTTACTTAATATCTGTTGAATTAATGACTCTTTCCTTGTAATCATAATCCAGACAATTCATTTGCATTCCGTAATATGAGGATTTTTCAACTGCAAAAGTATTTAACAGTACAGTCTTACGAGATGCACATTAATTAGTTAAATATTTTTCATCTGAATATTTTCTCATTGACTTTAATTCTATCTTTTCAAGTATGTGTCCATAATATTTAGTCCTGGTATGGTGCTGTGGGTTAATGCGCTGAACTGCAAAGTCGCTTTGAACTGCAATGCCGGCAGTTCAAGCTCACCAGCTGCTCCTAGGAAACCCTATATAGGGTCTCTATGGGTCAGAACCAACTCAACGGCACTTAACAACTTAATCTATAACACACAGCAGTTTGGCTGAACACTTCTTATTCCTCCTCCCATCACTGCAGCCCTTTCCCTCCTAAATCCATACAACTAAATGTGATGGCATGGTGGATTAAATCTAAATGTTGGTCTGCTAACCTACAGGGTCTCTAAGAGTTAACAACAACAACAACAAAATGCTTTCATAGTATGCTTATAAATTCTTAGTAATGTATCTTAAAGTTGGAGCTCAACAAACGGAGTTTCTTACAAGGAAGTGTAACCAGAATTTTCCATTAGGAAAGAAGAAGGAGGAAAGGAGGTATTTCTGACAAGAGTAATAAGGAAATATGTACTCTTGCTATTGTTACTTTCTTTTTGTCCAATGATATTTCTGCCTTCATTTTCTATGCCCCACACCAAGACAAATAGGCACAAAATACTGATCCCTGTCCACATGCCATTCCACTTTATTATCGGGTGAAAATTGAAAATCTCATAGATTGCACAGATACTTAAATTGGTTCAATGGTACATGCAATTCAACAGTCAATACCACGACAATTTATTCTACCTGCCTTCTTTAAGATCGACTGACTCTTATAACTCAGTGTCACCCATGCAAAAAAGAAAACACCAGTAAAGAATTAATAGTGCTAAAAGATATGAGTTATTTCTGTTTTTATTTATTCTAATATTCTGAAATTAAATAGCGGAATTACAAACATAGTAAATTATACACTCCAAAATGGTAAATTTTATGTTATATGAATGAACTATTTGGTCTATAACTTCTTTTTCTTGTAATATTCTAAGACAATATCTAAAGTTGTTGGTTTTACCTTTCCCTTCAATTTACACCAATTATCTTTTTGTCTTGTATTTTAGTTTCACCCAACATTGCTAAATAATTAAGACATTTAAAATATAATCAGTACAAAGCAGCCAAAATCAGCTAAGAGTTTTTATTCATCAACAAATTTGTCCCAAGCTTGGATGTACTACAAATCTCTTGAGGGTATGAGAACTACTAGCTTGTAAGCTTGCTTCTTTCCGATCCTGTTGCACCAAGTCAACGGAGTTTTGTTTCAAAATCAAAGCACAGCTGTATTAGCTTTTCGGAACTGAATTAATACAGGGCTCTGATAACACTAATGTAAGGCAAGTATTAAAAACGGAACGCAACTTCAACCAACAACAAAAGTGAGCTAATTCTCAGAGATTCTAAAATCATGCATCCCTACGTCCTCCTTTTTGCTGCATCTCCCACATGATATCCCCACCTTGTACTCTGGGGTCCAGCCGTGCTGTCTGATATCTTATTTCACTCTCCCTACCACTCTCAGGATCTTAGCACTTGCCATTTAGTCCCTTAACCAGGGAACTCTCTCCTTGCCTCTTTGCCTAATTTATTCCCATTATCTTTCAGACCTTCCTGAACCAAGTCAAAATATCCGAGGGAGTTTTTCAAATACTGGCCTTGTTGTCTGGAATCACATTTATTGGATGCTGAGAAATGATAGATGATGCTAAATTAAATCTCTGCAAAACAGGTTCGAGAGCACCCTAGACGTGACTTCATTTAAAAAGATTTTCACTCGCTCCCGTTTCACAGAGCAAAAAGGAAGGTTCAGAAGCAAGGGCGGCGTTGGCGCTAGGGCAAGAAGCAACTTGGAAGATTGGGATGGGGATGTTGGGTCTCAACGAGAGCCGTTCGCCTCGTTCCCTCTCAGGCTCTCCACTTGCCTAGTCTTTCCAAATGAACAGCCCCCGCGAGCTTCGCCTTCCTAGCCAGGACCCCAGGCGCCACAACAAGCTCTTCAGCCTCACGGACACTCCCCAGACACTTACCATCTGCCTTCACGGAGAGGCGCGGTAGACAGAGCAGTAGCAGCGCCGCGGCCCATAGTCCTGGTAAGCGGCTGCGCGCCAGAGTACGAAGGCCGGGTCCCTTGGCTGCCATGGTCCTGGCGTCCACTGGCCGGCAAGCTAGGTGCGGGATCCGGCTGCGCTCTGCCGTACCGCAGGAACTGCCCGGCGTGCGCCGCTCGGCGCTGTACGCAGAGCTCTGATAGCGCGTCGTAGGTTTAGCGCGGAGATGTAGGAGCAGGGAGAGTCGGGGAGGCTTGGGACGTCGGACTCGGAGCGCTGGGCTGGACAAACTTCCTGGGGGAGACGCGAGGGGAAGGCGGGAGGAGGTCTTCTCCGTGGCGCCGAGGAGGCGGTTGCAGCAGGGCTCCGCCTTCACACAGGGCACCTGGAGGCCTCGGTGCCAAAATTGGCTGCGATTGACCACGCGCTTCGTGGGCGCCGCTGGGGCGGAGGGTGAGTGCGCAAAGAGGCGGGAAGAACAAGCTGTAGCGAACCTCCGCAGGACTGGGTGACCCTCGACATGAGGGGTGGCGCCATCTGAGAGGCCGAACCCGTCTGGTAGGACTGCTGAGAAACCGGTACCTAACTCTGCTTCTCAATTTTCCTACTGGCGTTCTTCTTTTCAAAAAAGAAAGAATCCTACATGCCAACCTCACTCTAAAAAGTCAAACGCAGGGAATAGCGAGATTTCACTTCTCTAAAAACACGGCTTGTAAATCCCTCAGAAAGGGGTAAAGTTTGGGGTTGCTGCCTTTACTATTCCTAATATCCCTGTTGTTATGTTCTGTGGAGTCAGTTCCGACTCATAGCGACCCTGTACAGGGTTTCCGAAGCTGTAAATCTTTACGGGAGCAGAAAGCCTCATCTTTCTCCCGCGGAACAGCTGGTAGTTTCAAACTGCTGACCCTGAGGTCTCTGGTGGGATTGTCACCATTATCACCCATTTCCCAAATCTGGACTCCTTGACCTCCTAAAGACGTGAAATTAGCCAATGAAATCCTATCCCATCCAACTCACCTAGTAGCCTATATCCTCAGCATCAGTATCATTAAGTGGAGGAGAGTGGACTTGCATCCTTCAGTAACAGAGTGAAAATGGTCAGTATTTCTGTAACTGGGGCATGGGTGTCACTTTATAAATCCCTTCCATATTTATGGACTGCTCAACAAATATCAGACCCCTGGTGTGGCACTGCAGGATCAGCACTGGACTTTGAACCACAAGGTTGGCAGTTCAAACCCGCCAGCTGCTCCTCGGAAACCCTACACAGGGTCACTATGAGTTGGAATTGACTCAATGGCACTTAACAACAACAATAACAACATGTATCTATTGAGTGCTGGCATCATGTTGTCCCCTGTGCTGCACCTGAATGATACTTGTTGCTAAGTACCGTTGAGTCGGTTGTGACCCAGAGCAACCCTGTATAGGGTTTCTGAGGAGCAGCTGGTGAGCTTGTACCGCTGACCTTGCAGTTCAAACGGCTTTGCAGTCTGACGCATTAACCCACAGCGCCACACCAGGAATGATACTTAAAATGTCTTAAGAACGCTCACACTCCACAATGTGGAAGACAGTTAAGACTGGACAGGCGATTGATGCTCTCTGGAACAGATGACTGTCCTCATTTCATGAACTCAAAAACAGGCCCTGACAGACTCTATCTTATCTACTTTCCCCTCCCCCCAAATAAAAACTGGGATTGGAACTCCTTTGATTGACTACAGGTGTCATTTTCAACAAACATAATTTTTGAGGGGCAATGAAAAGAGATTATCTCCTGTGTTCGCCTCACCACCACCTCCCTTCCTGTGTGTGAACTGCAAAGCTATTTTTCTTGTTGTTAAATGCATTCAAATGGTTCTGACTCACAGCGAATATGTGTAGGGTTTCTGAGGAGCGGCTGGTGAGCTTGAACTGCCGACCTTGAGGTTCAACCCAACCTTTCTGTCCAGTGCCTACCCTGTAGTTCCACACCAGGACTTTTTGTTGTTGTTATGTGCCGTTGAGGCGGCTCTGACTCATAGCAACCCTGTATAGGATTTCGGAGCAATGAATGGTAAATTTGAACCACCAAACTTGCAGTTCAAACTGACCTTGAGGCCCAGTACTTACCTACAGCGCCACACTAGGACTACAACACCAGGACTGTTGTTAAGTGCCATCGAGTCTGTTCTGATTCATGGCAATCCTGTATTAATTTTCCAAGGAGCACCTGGTGAGTTTGAACCATCAACCTTGCTGTTCACCTTGCAGTCCAGTGCATTAACTTGCAGGGCCACACCCAAAATACCAATGGTTAATTCTTTTGGGTAATAAAACTATGCTTTTAGTTACAAATAACTCTAGGGTGTTAGATGCTGTGAGACTTGACAGTAATTTCAGATGTAAGTGTAAATTAATTTACTTAGGTACTTTCTGCCTAACAGCTAGCTGGTACCACAAGAAGTGAGACTTCACATGTCTGGACAGGAGGAGACAGTTTAAAACCCGAGAGTGTTGAGAGTGAGGAGGGGATGTCAGAAGGTCTCTGCAGGAGCTACTGACTGACCCATTGAAGTGAAGAGCTTTTAGAAGAGTCAATTAGATATTATTACCTATATTAATTTCCTAAGGCTGCTGTAACAAAAAGGAGCTCTGGTGGTGTAGTGGTTATGAGTCAGGCTGGTAATCTCAAGGTCGGCAGTTTGAAACTACCAGCCGTTATGCAGGAGAAAGATGAGGCTTTCTGTTCCCATAAAAATTTATAGCCTCAGAAACCCAATACAGGGTTTCTATGAGTCGGAACCGACTCCACGGCACATAACCACCACACCACCATAACAAACTACTACAAAACTGGGCAGCTTAAAAGAACAGAAATGTATTATCTCACAATTCTGGAGGCTAAGAATCAAAAATCAGGGTGTCGACCATTTGTCTCTCCTGATCCCACAGGATGCTACCTCATAGGAGCACTGGCCATCACTACCCTAGAAAGTGCAGGGAAAGAGTGAGAGAGAAAATACCTCAACCTCCCTCTTCTACTAGGAACCCTGGTTGCACAGTGGTTAAGTGTTCACCCCTAACTCAAAGGTTTGAATCCACTATCTGCTCCACAAGAAAAAGATGTGATCAAGTTCTGTAAAGCTTTACAGTCTTGAAAATCCCACGGGATCTGGAAAGCAACCAGCACAGTCCACATACGTAGTCTTTTCTTTCATTTGATTTAAAAAAAAAAATTTTTTTAAGGGAAAATACAAAGACCTATCAGCTCTTAGTGGCGTAATGGACTACTAACCACAAAGTCAGCAATTCGAATCCACTGGCTGCTCTGTAAGAGAAAGAGGAGGTATTACAGCCTCAGAAAGCCTGTATAGGGTCGTTATGAGTTTGAATCAACTCAATGGCAGTGGGGTTGGTTTTGGTATCAGCTCCTGTGTTACCTAAGAATGAAGTCCATTCAGTCTTATCCAACATGGAAGCTAAATTGTAGCGTTAACCACTGGTTGTACTCTTCATACAAGGTAAACAGAAAAGAGGATTAGTAAAAATGTATTATAGAATTTGAAAACCAACTAAATTTCACTTCTATCGAATTGAATCTGACTCACAGAAATCTATTGTAGCATTTCCAAGGCTGTAAATCTTTACAGGAACAGAAAGCCTCATCTTTCTTCCCCAGAGCAGCTGCTGGGTTTGAACTGCTGAACTTATACTTAGCAGTCCAGTGATTATCCTATAGCAGTTTATGGAAAAACTCCATTACCTTTTAATTCCATTTCTCCATGAATTTTTTTAAGCCCTTCATATAGATGCTACACACTTCTGAAATTGGTCAGGTGGCCTGATGTGGTAAGTATTGTTTCCTGACCCTTCCCTTTCATCTACTTGCTTTCTGAGCATCTTTGCATGTAGGAGGTTTACTAAGTGTCTCCTGGTGGATGTGATCTGGAGATAGGCTTCCCTTTTCACGTCTCTTATTACTCAGCTGCAAGCTATCTTAGCAGGTGTTGGCTATCTGTGTAATGCATAGCAGCTGGTATTGGTTCCTGTCTGGATGGTGGGATATTAT